ACGAGAGAAATGAACATGTCTCTATAAGAGACCCAATTTAAATAATCACCAGAGAAAGTGGGAATATCTATCTTAGGAAGACGAACGTCTGGGATAATAGTATCGTTCCTTTGAGAAGACGAGGCATGGAACGTCGAATGAAAATTCGGGGAACTCGGACTACGATATTCGGCAATAAAATCGAGCAATTTTCCTTTACCACTGAGGTAAATTCTAAAAAATTGGTAATGTACATCATCGTGGAAGTATGGGACATCAGTAGTATTAATTGATTTGTCCCGAAAGATATCGAAAAGTTGCTCATGGTTAGCTTCAAAAGTTTTTTTAATCTCCTCTATCTCATCGAGACAGCTTTGGCACAAACCTCGGGTTTTTTCACCAATGGGCAATTGTTCGAAATCCGAAATGATTCGTTGAACACGGGCCATTAAAATCTTTTGATCTTCAATTGATCTTGAATAATCCTCCATTTTATTTTTATGCAAAATGTCACTTTCGAGAAATTATAATTTAAATTGTCCCAGTAGAGGAGTAGAAATAAATGTTCATAAAATTTTCCACTTAAATTTCTCACCTATAAGAGGCAGATTAAGATATGGTTTGGCACACACAAAGTTGATAGAATTTAGTTTTTTTAATATTTCCCAGAGAAGGGACAGATTTAATTTCACAATTTCTTTTAATTGCTTTTATTTTCACAGTTCAGTTTCAATTTCTTAAATTTTCAGATTTTTGTAGACTTAGTTTTTTTTCAGCTTTATTTTAAATTAGGGCTTTGAGCTTTTTTAGGTTTTTTTCAATAAAATATTTTTGCCAGATTTGAGTAATATTAGTTTTTTTGTTTGATTTATTTTTTTAAAATATTTTCTTATTTTTCAGCAAGGGTTCACTTTCTTTAATTTTTGTAGTATGGTTTAATTTAATAATTTTCAGTTTATTACCAAATTTTTCACGATCGATTTTCAGTTTATTAGAACAGTTTTTTTTTTCACACTTTGTGAGTTCCACCAATTCAGAAAAAGTTGTTTTATTCACACAACACTGTTTTTTTTTTATTTTTTTCTTTTTTATAGGGAAAGTTCACTTATCCCGGGTTTCGGCACCATAAAAATGTATGAGATTAAATGGCTCCTCGAGCCAGCGCAAAAAAAAAAACACAAAGAGTTTTCTTAAAAAATTTAAATTGTCTCTGGGGCAACTTTATTTCACAAAAAATTATAATTGAATATAACTTGTAAATATTTCTGCTCCGGATGGGACAATCAATAATTATTAATATTATAACTAATTTAACTTTAATTAATTTAACAAAAATCGAGTTAAGCTCATTTGCAGCAAGGCAGTAAAATAATTTGTTTAATAGATCGGTTTAATGCAGCACGGCAGAATATGTAAACAGAACTAAAAAACTTCTATTCTAAAAATAAACATAACACGGCTGCATTGATCTTATTTACTGTCTCTGCTTTCGCTATTACCTTTGTTACGACGTCGCTGCATTATGTTTAGTAAATAAACAATGCAGCGACAACAACAACAATAACAAAGAATAACGTAACAGAGACAGTAAACAAAGATCATTGTCCGTGCTACGTTGCCAAATTATGGCCTTGAAACATTAGGCATAGAAAAATAGGAATAGGCAAATTAGAAAATTATAACAAATTAGGGATGTCAGTTGGTGACAGTTTAGGGAAGAAAATAGGGATGCCATATTAGAATGGTAATATAAGGGAAAAATAATAAATATAAATAAATAATAAATTATTAAAGAATAAAATCGAAATAAATAAAATAGTAAATAAATAATCGTTGGTTCTCCAACAGATATAGTTCCCTTTTATTATAGATTGATTTTAAGTAATTGACTCACCAAAGAACCAATAGGAACAAAACGTTCTGAAATTAGTATAACCTAACCTGTGACAAGTTTGTTTGAAATCGCTTAATATTTGGATAGAGATTCCATATATATTTTCGCCCGATTTCAAGTAAATTGGGCATCAAACTCCTCATGTTAGTCAGGTTGACAACAGATTGACAACGTACAAAATTGAGCATAGAATTACGAATTTGCGTTTTCTAGAAGTACAGACATAGCCCAATGGATGACCTATATTTGTTTGAAGTCGATTTACATACTTTATGGATAGATCTAGGTACACATTTAGATAAATATCACATATTTTATTTCATCCAATTTCATGTTAATAGTCCTGTTTAATATACCCATAGTGGTGAAGGGTATCATATAGTCGGCCCCGTCCGACTTTACTTCTTTCCTTACCGGTTTTTCACAATAAAATGATTAATAACACATATTATTCATCAAAAATAATTAATTTACTCTTTTTGGTTTCGCCTAATTTTGAAAGTGCAGAATTAGGCGAAACCATAAAGGGTAAATTAATTATTTTTGTTGAATAATATGTGTTTCTGATCATTATATTGTGAACAATAACTAAATGGGTCCATTTTATTTGTCAACTAACATACCTATACTAACATACTCTATATCTGACCTAATGAACAATTTAGTACAGGTTGTAGAAATATATGTTTATGGGCCCAATTTCATTTTACTGATCCTTCAAAAATGCGACGTATATTGAATATACCCAAAGTGGTGAAGGGTATCATATAGTCGGCCCCGCCCGACTTTACTACTTTCCTTGCTGGTTTTTTATCGTAGTATGTTCAGAGATCTTTTTTTTAATAGAAGGGCGGAAGGGTAACGGAATTTTTCATTAATGAACTCAATGAAAAGGAGTCTTTCATAGCCGATCAGAAGGACAGATAGTCGTTCATAGACGAAGTAAAGGGTCATGGAGTATGTCGTAGATGAGTTCTACGGTAGGGAATTTCATAAGGGACCTGAAGGATCAGGGATTCATTCATTGCAGAGCTGAAGTAGCAAGACGTCTTTCATAGACAATCTAAAAGGTTTATGAGTTTTTGTGGACGAACTAAAGAGCCAGGGATTCTTTTATAGCCGAAGGGCCTGAAAATCTTTATAGAACAGATCAGATAGGTCAGTGAGGCTTTATAGGCGTGCTATTGTATCAAGTTGCATTTCATATATGGGTTTGAAGGGTCAGGATCATTCATAAAACAGCTGAAGGAAGTCAAAGGCATGTTAAAGAACCTTTCATAGTAGAACTGCAGAAAAGCGAAGACGTTTTTTGAACGACCCAAAAACCATTAATTGCGAAGGCAGGGAGTATAGGAAATTTGTCACAGGCAAGTGGTATGGTGAGGTTGTCTTTCACAGATAAGCTTAAAAATATGAAATTCTTTAATATAGACGCTGAAGGACCAGGGAATCTTTTATAGTCGAACTAAAGTGTCAGCGAGTCTTTCAAAGACGAAAGGAGTCTTTATAGACGACTGAAAAATTGTGAGCTTCAGGTTCACGGCTGCATAAAATCTTTATTTGATTCGATATGACAATTCATATAATATAATGTTTGAAGATTATTTTATTATCTTACTGCACCTCAAATGGATGCATTTGTGGCTTTTTGCAATCTTCTGGCTGATTTTACACCAAAATCGTAAATGTTTGATTTGGCCAAATATGCAACTTTTTTTATGATTTGTTGCCATTTTAAAGGTAACTTCATAATGCCTCTCTCATAGAAGTTCTGCTCTCCAATTTGCAAAAAATTCTAGTAGTCGATTTTCACAATCCTCCTTAGATGCCAATTTTTATCATTAAAGAAATTTGCAATGCGAGATGATAATCGCTTGATACCAAGTCCGGACTGTATGGCGAATGCATTAAAACTTCCCAACCAAGCTCCCAACGTTTCTGGCGAATCACTGCAGATGTGTGTGGCGTAGCGATGTCCTGGTGGAACACGACACCTCCCCTTTTGGCCAATTCTGGCCGTTTCTGCTCAATTGTAAATGGTTTAAAACAGTTTTATGCCGGTTAACTGCGATCATTTCTCCGATTTTATAGACATTTTCGACGAAAAAATAATGGATTTCGTTTTTCCCCAATCGAATGTTCTCCGATTTTATTGACATTTAAGTATATATTTCCAAAGATCCTACTACTTTTGATAATTTCATACAGACACCAAACCCCAAGTGACGAAAACAACGTTTACATGTCTGCATTCAAATCCTATAAATTTCACAGTAAAGCGCATACATTTCAAATGCATTTCTTCATGCTCGAATAACCAATTTCCATTGTTCTATTTCTGTACAATTGAATGTAATTACACCATGTACTTCATGCCAAAACTGTTTCTAAACAAATGCGAACATACTTGACGAATTGTCTTCAAAAGTATTTAAATATAAGAAAAATACATTCATGAAAATATATTTTGCAAAAACGAACTATTTGTTCGTTTACTTTCCAAAAATGTGTTCCTTTTGTTTTTATTTCTTAAAGGATGTTCTATTGTAATACATATAGCACATGTTCTGTGAAAAAAAAACGTAAATACCTGTTTTTAACAAATACAATGGAACAACTTTTAGATGCAAATTAAACGTTGGAAATAACGTAAAGTAGGAAAGTGAATAAGAAAGAAACTAGTACGAAGAATGTTACCAAACTGTAAAATGTTCTGAATTCGGAAATGATGAAAGAAAGGTGTTTACGAATAAGCAAGCTTTTCATATAGAACGAAAATTGCATATATGGCATTTTAAATGTGAAAAATTAAAATAAATCGTGTATGAAATATATGGAGATTTTGGAGGATCCTTTTTCTTTGATTTTGTTACAATTAGCTGGGCCTCCGTGTGATAGACGTTGATGACTACTGACTATGTCGAAAGGCTGCAAACACAGGAAGTAGCAGAAATATACTCCGCTCACCTTACCCAGTTGCTAGTCGAAAGCACTCCTTACATATAGAAGTACAATGGAAAGAATTGCCCACTCTCTACAAACTGGAGCAAAAGCAACACTGGAGTGCCAAAGACCACCATCAAGAAACCCATTGTACGATCAGTAATGCTGTCGTAATGCTACTGAGATGAAAAACGCAGAGTATGGGGCAACCCTGCAAACAGTAGCAACACACAATGCGAGAGAGAATCAGGAGAAAGGGAGAGAGGAGAAGCGTATCTTCAACAGAAAGAACAAAAAAGTGTGAGCGTGAGTAAATCGAGATGTACAGGATTCAGAATGAAATTCGGAATTTTTACCAACGAGTAAAACACCAAACCGACGGATTTGGCGCTGGCGCATCCTTCTGTACAGAAAAAGATGGAAACCTGGCGGCAGATACAGATAGCGTGTTTAGTATCTGGGTGGAGCATTTTGCAAAGCTTCTAGTATGCACCAGCAGCCAAATCCAGGAAAAGACACACGACACATTCCACCTTTTCTTCCACTACAAAGCTGCATTCGCCATGTCTGCAATTCCCATTCTGGCAAAATTAATACGTCTGCGCAGGATAACTTTAGCTGGCACAAGATCAGCAGTTAAAATCGGAAAGGACCTCTAGAAGCTATTGGACACCGAACGAGGATTCCGACAAGGTGACAGTTTGTAGTGTGACCTTTTGAACATCCTGCTGGAAAAAGTCGTGCGAGATGCAAAGGGGAACGGAAATGACACTCTGAACATTGGGAGCGGTAACAGCCACCTTTAAACGAATTGAGAAGGAGTCTGTCAAAGTGGGAGTGACAGTAAATGCCGAGAAGACCGAGCTGACAGATTTGAGGTAGTCGACGATTTTATATACCTTGGTACCGCCATAAACAAAACTGGATCTAAAGCATGGGTATTTGCGTAAGTAGTTGAGGCAATTCTTGGAATGTTCAAGAGAAAAATTCTTCGAAAGGTCCACGGGCCAATCTGTGTCGACTGTGAATATCGCCATCGAAGTTATACCATATATGAGTTGTACCATATATTCTCGGATATCGACATAGTCAGGCATATCGATCTACAGCGTTTGGAATGGATGATGAAAACAAGTAAAATCCAATAGGTCTTATCTTCAGACTTGATCTTAGCTTGGTAGAAATAATAAGTTCTGCAAAGTGTGTTTTAAATTTCTCATTTCGTTCGCCTAATATACAATTTATAAATATTGAAAAATTTGAGAATTTGTGTGGGGGAGGTACCAGAAGAAGTGGACCAATGGGTCCCATCATCAAACTTGATCTACGCTTGGTAAAGATAATAGTTTGTACAAAGGCTGGTTCAACTCGGACATTCCAATCGCCTGATCTTGTATATATAATTATTGAACATTTTTACCATTTGGGGGGAGGTACCAGAAGGAGTGGACCAATGGATCCCATTTTCTTACTTTATCTAGACTTGGTAAAGATAATAGGTTATACAATGTTTGGTTCAAATTGGATCGTCCGTTCGCATGATATTATTAAATTAATTTTTTGCACAATTTGTGGGCGATGTACCAAAAGCAGTGGACCGATATTCCCCATCTTCGAACTTGAGCTAATTTTGGAAGAAATATTAAGATGTGCAAAGTTTGAATGAAATCGGTTATTCCCTTCGAGAGTTATGGTGCCCACCAGCCGGCCAGACAGACAAATGGACGGACGGAGATTTGTAAATCGACTCCAAATTTCCTGAAACGGATTTGGTTCAAATAAAACCAATATCTCCATGAGGCACATTTTTACGATATTAATGTTTATATACCCTCATTAGCCATAACTTATGGCCCAAAAGGCTGAGGGTATAACGAGCCAACTGATGTTTCCCGCAGAAGGAGAAGGCCACGAATTCGATGGAAAAATGTAGTAGAAGACAACATTTCGAAACTTGGTCTCTCTAAGTAGAAAAAAACAGCACACAAGACCAACTCGCGTGGAAATCTGTTTTAAGCTTCGTTTATGAAACAAATGTATCAGATCTATAGGCCTGGATATTTAAAAAAATAATTTTTCTGAGGACTACAAGATCTATAAGATTGAATTTTTAAAGAGTTGTTGTCTGAGGGCCACCTTATTTTTTCTAAGCACTGAGGACTTTTAGGAGGGGATTTTAAAATAATATTTTTCTGAGAATTAAAATATTTTTTTCTGGAAACTGAGCTGTGAATTATAAAAGATAATTTTCTGACTAGAATTTATTTTGAGTACTATCCGAGCCACAGGCTTGGATTTTAAAAGACTATTTTTCTCAGAACTACTATATTTTCGTGCGGAATAGTATAGCTACAGGCATAGATTTTTAATGAATATTTTTCTAAGGACTATCAGAGCCATAGACTGATTTTTATACCCTTCACCACACCGTGGTACAGGGTATTATGTCTTTGTGCATATGTTTGTAACAGGCAAAAGGAATCGAGATAGAATCGCTTTTTGAGTCGATTTACGCATGTCCGTCTGTCCGTCCGTCCATGTATTTTTGTAAACAAAGTACAGGTCGCATTTGGCAGATGTTGGCAGATTTGGATGAAATTTGGCAGATGTCACTTATTTGGCCCAAGGACGAACCCTATTGAAATTGGTGAAAATCTGTCTGGATTTAGATATAGCTCCCATGTATATTTTCGCCCCATTTAATTTAAATGGTGCACCAAAGTCCCTACATATCTCTCGATTTGCACGGACTTTGGCACAGCGTAATGAATTAGTACTGGAATGATGTGTGTTAAGTATTCTGACAATCGGTTCAGATTTAGATATAGCTCCCATATATATTTTCGTCCGATTTAATGTAAATGGTCCACCAAAGTCCCTATATATCTTTCGATTTGCACGAAATTTGGCACAGCGTAATAAATTAGGTCTAGAATGATGTGTGTTAAGTTTTCTGAAAATCCGTTCAGATTTAGATATAGCTCCCATATATATTTTCGTCATATATATCTTTCGATTTGCACGAAATTTGGCACAGCATAATGAATTAGGTCTAGAATGATGTGTGTTAAGTTTTCTGAAAATCCGTTCAGATTTAGATATAGCTCCCATATATATTTTCGTCCGATGTAATGTAAATGGTGCACCAAAGTCCCTATGTATCCTTCGATTCGCACCAAATTTGGCGTAGCGTACTAAATTTTGTCTAGAGTGATGTGTTTTAAGTTCCGTGAAAATCGGTTCAGATTTAGATATAGCTGCCATACATATTTTCGTCCGATTTAAGGTAAATGAGGCAACAAAGCTCCTATATATCTTTCGATTTGCACGAAATTTGACATAGAGTACTGAATTAGGTACAGAATGCTGTTTGCCAAGTTTCGTGAAAATCGGTTCTGATTAATATATAGCTTCAATATATATTTTCGACCGATTTAGTTTAAATTGTGCACTAAAGACCCAAAAATTGGCCGATCGTCACACAATTTTGTACAATGTACTGAAGTTACTATAACCTTTCGAGTGTCAAGTTTTCTTGAAATTGGTTCAGATTTACATATAGCTTCTATATATACTTTCGTCCGATTTTAAGTAAAGGGTGCACTAAAGGCTCATACCTAGGCCGATTGACAAAACGTATTGAAATTAATAAAAGTTAATATATAGTAAGTTTACTTGAAATCGGTTCAGATTTAGCATAGCTTCCATATATAATTTCGATCTATTCATGTTGATTGTATACCAGATAATCGATGGCTGCCTGATTTAAACAGTGAAGCATACTAAATATTTTGTGTAAAGTTTGCTTTAAATCTATTTACAAAGTATGGAATAGGTTGCAGAATAGCATGTGTTAGAATTGATGTTAGTCGGTTGACATATAGATAAAGATTGCATATTTAAGTTCGTTCAATTTCATGTCAATGTTCCTTTGAAAAGGCGACGTCTGTTAGGATACATATGTAGAATGTCCCTAAAGTGGTGAAGGGTATCATATAGTCGGCCCAGTCCGACTTCACTACTTTCCTTATTTTTGTAATGACTATCAGACCAATAAGCTCCGACTTTTAAGAATATTTCTTCTAAGGACCAAGACATGCGTGAGGAAATAAAAAATTCAGCACGTCTGAACTCAACGACATTTTCTCTCGTTTAATTTATAGTTTCCCACTCACAGGGTGTTAATAAATATAAACAGGATTTTAATTAAACACTAAAAGAGTAATATAAATTTAATTTCCTTTCAAACGAAAACTAAGTACTAACTTTTAATTGTTACAATATATATATACTTTTCTATCCCTACAAAAACAAAATAGTACCCAAAGAAAAATGCACAGGCAGGACATTAAAAATTTACTTATATGTTTATAATTGGGCTGGTTAGCCTGCAAATATACACATTCACACACATATGTCATAAATATACAATTAAATTGTCCTTTTCTGTAATTGTAAAACTTTTGTCTCCAAATTGCTACATAATGTTGTTAAATTATATTTTTAAATGTTAATTATGGACACACACACTCACATACTCACACACACATTTGTTACTGTTTCCACATAACGTTTTTTTATGTTTTGGTTCACATTTGCAGATTATCTGGCCTGGAAAATGGTTTACTGGGACTATCATCGCGTATAAATGCCGTCATGTGGTCACGTTCAACAACCGACATCGAAAATGTTGATATCATTTGTTTTGGCCATTTGTTGTACGAAATGTGCATGGGCCAGGAGATGACAACACCAAAACCGTCCATGAGAGTTCTAGAAATGGAAATGGAACATTATCCACAGGTAGGCAAGGGACTGAACCTGAGGAACTTAAGGACTTAAAAAAAGTTATTTCTTAGCTTCTGAGAACATTTTCTACGGGAAAAAGTACTGAGGTCACTGAGGTATCTTTTCTGTAAAAAAACCTTAAAGACAGAGGAGTTTTTGTATAGAAAAAAGTAAATCTAATTTATTTAATTTTATGTTTCCCCCTCTTTCCAGATTCTCGATGTTTTGGGTTTAATATTCGAACCACCCAATGGTGTCTGTCCATCCGTGGAAGATTTAGTGTTATGTGATTTATTTAGATCGATAGATTTACGAGAATTAAGAGGTCCTTGCTTTAATGTAAGTAATGTTTTTTATAAAAACCTAGCAACCAAATATTTCAAAAATGCCCCACCTTCCCTCTCTCTCCACACTTTTTCAGACCATCAAACCGAGCCTAAGCAGATCGACACTGAATTTATTGGCAGCTGTCAAGAAACGACAATGTGCCTCGCTGGGCAATTCGTTTAGTGAGGCCAGTTCACCATGTACACCACCCTCAACGCCCAGGGATCGAAGATCGGGGTATGTTTCTGATTAAATACTACTAAAAAAATGTTGAATTATGAATTATCCCTTAAATTATCTAAGCGTTAAAAACTCACCTCAACTAATTGGAACATTCAAAAAACAAATATTAAATGTACAAAAATGCTGAGCTGTTAAAAAAATTAGAAATATAATAAATATCAATTTTAAACTCAATAAAATGAAATGTTTTCTGTTTGGATTCCAAAACGAAATTACAATGTGTTAGAAAATGGCAGAATATGGCAACCAGGACAGGTTTATTAAATATATCATCAGATCCTGAAGGAATTTTCTATTAAAAAACGCTTCTCAGCACCGGGTACTTATTTATAAAAACATCTTTCCTCAACTCTTGAGGGTTTTTTTTTCCATAGGAAGAAAATGTACCCTGTTTATCACATAGGAATTTGTTACTACAGATAAAAATGGCTTCGTTCCTTGAGAACTTTGTTCAGTAGAAAACATTTCTTCTCAGCTCTTTAGGCTTTTTTTGTATAGAAAAAAAACCCCAACTACCGATGAATATTTTATCTATTTTTAAATGTTTGTCCTCAAAACCTGAGGACTTATAGAGCCTTTTTCTCTATTGAAAAAATTTTCCCCATATACTATTCCCATATAATTCCCAAAAGCTTTAAAAATATAAAATAACTGCAGATTCCAAGAGGCCTATTTTCTATAAAAAAAATGTCATCAGTTCCTAAGGATTTTTCTACAGAATTTTTGTATGGAAACACACAGCTCCTTAGAATTGCTCATCAGCGGCCGTGGTATTTTTTTCTATGTAAACAAACAGCCCCTTAGAAAAAAGCTGTCCTTAGACTATGAGGTCTCTGGAATTGCCCATAATATTTTTTCTTTAAAAAAATTCTACGCTTTGAAATACCTCAAAAATCCCATTTTTTAAAGTCCATGATTGGAAATGTCCCAGACAAAGTCTTATTCTCAGGAAACTATGTTTGGCAATCTCTAAACCATGATTGGGAAGTCCGTGAAAATGTTCACTCCTTGGAATGTCCTTCAAAATGACCTTGAGAAATATTTTTTAAAAAAATCTACGCTTGGAAATTTAAAAAATTCACGTTTGGAAATGACTTTGAAAATATTTTTTAGAAATACATGTTTGAAAATGACAAAGTCGTGTCTCCCTGACAAAGTCTTATTCTCAAGAAACTATGTTTGGTAATCTCTAAACAACGATTGCGAATGTCCTTGAAAAAATCCACTCCTTGAAATGATCTTTGGAAAATATATATTTTTATGCCCTCCACCACACTGTGGTACAGGGTATTATGTCTTTGTGCATATGTTTGTAACTGGCAAAAGGAATCGAGATAGACCCATGGTTCCTTTTGAGAATATGCATAGAATCACTTTCTGAGCCAATTATGCATGTCCGTCCGTTCAGGCATTTTTGTGACCAAGGTCGCATTTATGATCCCATTTGAATGAAATTTGGCACATGTCACATATTTGGCCCAAGGACGAACCCTATTGCAGCAAGTCGGTTCAGATTTAGATATAGCTCCCATATATAGTTTCGTCCGATTTTATGTAAATGGAGCACGATTGAAAATTTTTCCGAAAACATCCACTCATTGTAATGTCCTTGAAAAATCCAGTCCTTGGAATGTCCTTAAAAATCTTCTATAAATCTCAACAAATGTCCTTGTTAAAACATCCACTCCTGGAAATGACCTTTAAATCCATTTTTTCAAAAGGCCACATTTCAAAATGACCTCGAAAAATATTTTTTAAAAAAATCCAGGCTTGGAAATGACCTTGAAAATATTTAAAAAAAATCCACGCTAATAAATGACCTTGAAAAATATTTTTTAAAAAATTCACCTTGAAAAAAATTATTTCTTTTAATCCACGTTTCGAAAGTCTGAAAACGACCATAGATTTCTTGTTTAAGAAATTCAGGTTTGGAAATGACTTCGAAAAATATTTTTTTTAGGAATACACCTTTGAAAATTACTTCGAAAAAATATACCATTTTAAAATCCACACGCTTAAAAATGACCTTGAAAAATAGATATTTTTTAAATCAAGTTTGGAAATGATCACAAAAATATAATTTTCAAATCCACGCATGGAAATAGTCCTTAACAAAAATTAAAAAAAACACGCTTAGAAAAGTCCTTAAAAATATTCATTAAGGGGACCCCCCCCCCCCCAATCTCGGTGTCAAAATTTTTGATTTAATTCGAATCTTCACTAATTCAAGAATGTCCCTCAAGAACTCTTGAAGATATAGCCGATTTATTGTGTCAGCATCAAGTGGCGGCTAAAGGGCTTCTCAAACTTTAAACGCGTTTTTCTCTAAAAATTTTTTTGCGAATGGCGGGCACGATAACTCAAAAACTAATAACCCAATTGATTCCAAATTTTTACACGTTTCTCTGTGAGTGTATAGCTATCGTAGGATAAAGCCAATCGGTGAAGATCTTCCTTATTTTTTAACTTGGTTTTTGGCCAAAAATCGGCGATTTTCCAAAAAAATAATTTTTCAAAAATCCGCCATTTTGTTAATTTTAGAGCGCAGTCAATAATCCTAGTTCATACGAGAGCCTACATGTCTGGCCGTTGGAATTTTCGGATTCCGATGTTCCAGTGAGGAGTTATCATGCCCGCCATCAAAAGTAAGGACTTTTCTTTGATCACAAAAAACAACAACAACAATTTTTTGTAAATTATTTTTCTTCCTTTTTAAATCTTCAAATATATATGTGCCAAGTTACAAACCTTAACAAGCATTGGTATTCATTTACCAGCCCATTTAAAATCATAAAAATAAAAAATCGAGAAGGGGGGGGGGAGGTCCCTTAAACAATCTACAACTAAAAAAATATTTAAAGAAAGAATATTTTTTACAAAATGCACGCTAAGAAATTCCCATGGAAAATATTTGTTAAGAAATTCACGTGTGGAAATTACTTCGGAAAAAGTATATATAATTAAAAACCACGCTTCGAAATAACCTTGAAAACATTTTTTTTAAATCCATGTTTCATTTTTGAAGGACCATTGACATGAAAGTGGACTACTTTACATATACGATCTGTGTCTATATGTGAACCGACTTAACCGAACGATTAATAACTGGTTACATTTGTAAATTTATATTAAGTTTGTTTTTTTCGTTTATAATACATCGGAATAATCACTTCCAACCCTATAAAATACATCTTTTTGATCAGCGAAAGTTCTATGACGATTTAAGAATGTCCGCCTGTCTGTTGTCTAGCCTCTAAACCACAACATAGAGTTGTCTTTTGTCTGCAGGCAGGTCAAGTTCGAAGATGAGCTATATCGGTCCAGGCATAGGTATATAAGGGTACTTCCTAATTTTGGGATTTTATTGGGTATCAAAGGGGGTTCTTGAGCGTGCTTTTCAACCGAATTCGGTGAAATTTGGTACAATGGATTCTTCTTTGGTACATCAATCCACACACATGTTCTCGGTAAGCTATGCCAAAGTACATGTAATTAGGGCAGATTTAGATTCGTTTAGAAAATTATGTAAATCGATTTAAATCAAACTATTCATGATGCTACAACACAGAGCGCTGTTGAAGATATAATCCAGTTCATCCACAATCATCAGTTCATTATTTAGTGCACCCTTTAATTCTTTGGTGCACAATTTGCTAAAAATCGGACGAACATAAATATGGGACCTATATCTAAATGTAAACCGATTTGAATAAAACTTGGAACACTTTAGGCTATCATAAATTCAGTACGTTGTGCAAAATTTCGTGCCAATCGGACTAAATATGAATCTTTGGTGCCCCATTTGCTAAAAATCGGACGAAAATATATATGGCAGCTATATCTAAATCTGAACCGAGCCTTAGCACACGTTAGGCTATACCGATTTCAGTACGTTGTGCAAAATTTTGTGCCAATGGGACTAAATTTGACTGTTTAGTGCACCATTTGCTAAAAATCGGACGAACATACAGTGGCTCCATCGAATAATCGGACAAGTGTTTGTCAGATATAATAATGCTATACATTTCAAAAAAATTTCTAAATGTGTAGTTTTTTTTCGCTTTTATTTACACATTACTTACTTTTATTTCTGAACAATACAAAAAGCAACAACTTTCCTAGTGATAAAAGTAAATTTCGTCAGAAAAACAAAATTAACTTAATTTATTGTGTTCAACGCAAAATCGGACAAAACAAAGTATCAATGTTAAAAGTCCCGTTATTATGCAAATATGAACTTCAAATCTGTATTTTGTTTGTCGTATTCATTTGTAAATTGCATTTAGATCAAGAAAGTGGTAAAGCTAAATAAAAATAAATTTAAATGGCTCCAAAAGGGAAAAAATTCAGTGTGGAAATCAGACAATTAATAGATAAATTGAATTATGAAGGTAAAACAGTAAGAGAAATTGCCGTATTGGTTGGAATGAATAAATCTACTGTCCACGACATTATAAAGAGGTTCGTGATGAGTTCAGATTGACCAATAAAAGCAGAGAAGGTCAATGGGAGATATTGAATGAGCGAGAAGAGCGTTCGATATTAAAATAAATAAAACAATATCCATTTAAAAGCGCAAAAGAACTTAAAATAAATTTAAAAACTCGCACTTGAAAAGATGTGTGCCTAAATACTATTCGCAATACATTACATAAATATGATTATTATGGAAGAGTTGCAAGAAAAAAAGCATTTATAAGCCTTAAAAATAAAAACAGTAGAATAAAATATGCCAAGGAGTATTTACTAAAATTAGAAGATTGTTGGAAGCAGGTAATTTGATGATAGATCATCTTAAAATACATTTCTATTGATAGTTTCCATTATATTAAGGATCTGTTTACTGACGAAAGCAAATTTAATTCGCACGGATCAGATGGAAAGATGTATGTGTGGCGTAAGCCAAATGCTGAATTTAATCATAAGAATACAAAAGCCACTGTTAAGCACGGATGAGGTTCTGTTATGGTTTGGGTCTGCATGTCGAGTGCGGC